ATGTATATATATATATACATATGTATATATATATACATATACATATATATATATATATACATATACATATATATATATATACATATATACATACACATATATATACATATATACATACATATATATATTACATATGTGTATATACATATGTATAGATGTGTGTATATATATATAGACATATATACACATCTATACATATGTACATACACACATATGTATATACCGTATGTAAAACATGTACACACACGCACATATATACCGTATGTGTATGCATATGCATATGCATGCATTTAGCTAAAGTAAACATACCTGCTTTGATTGTACAAATTGAAATGTTTGACACAAAATAAAACATTACTGTTATTTATGCATGTTTTAAAACAAGACATTAATCAGATTTTCTTTTTTTTCATAATGGCTGGTTTGGCTTCCTTCTCAGTGCCATGCCTTTGTGAAATTACAGAGATCCTTTAGTTCCCTGACCAAATATTTGGTGTTAGCTTCATCCCTGGCTCCCAGGTTCAACAAAAGAATTCTACGGTTTGCTTATTTCGGCAGCCTAGGGCAATATGGTTTGTGCTGGCCTAAGTTAGTGTTGTTCATTAGATCAGGCTTTAAGCTTGGACGTTTTTTTTTGACCCCGAGGAAGGATTCATTGGGATGGCCTGAGTTTTGAATAACTAAAAGTGCTTTTGTGTTTGTGGGAAGAAGTGAAGCAGCCGGGCGGCGTTAATTAGGCTTGCGACCCCTCTTCTTACCGGACGTGGGATTGTTTCTCATCTCTGCACCGTTTGCGTTATTCACTAGTGCTTTACTTTTGTTGCTGGAGACCAGTTCATTGTCCGCTGCACGAAACCAGTTCTAAGGAAGAAAAGAAAAAAAAAAAAAAAAAACAAACTTCAGGTGATTACCTCGAGCAATATCAGCCAAAAGATAAGGTACTACTACAACCTTGTAAAGCTGCAGCTGGTCCAGAAAATGACATAGTCATATCATGCAAGAGTCGACGTCCATATACTAGGGTGCATTTGCCATCCCTAGTGAATGTACTGTATATACAGACCCACCTGTGAATGTGTCTTGCTGATGTGGTACTTAACACCACTCTCTGAACTAAACTCCTTTTGACATATTAGACAGATGTACTTCCTGAGTTCTCCACCGTCCTGAAACAAACACACACACATACACACATACATACACATTGTAGCTACGGTATTTCAGGTTTCAGCCATATCATTAAGTACATAGCAGTATTGTTATCATCTACTGTGTGTCATTAGGGTCCCCACCACTTTTCAAGCTTTTCATTATTTTTACTATTGTAATTGTTTTATTATTATTATTATTATTATTATTATTATTATTATTATTATTATTATTATTATTAGGGTTTGCTAATAGTGTAGTGAACTAAGTCAGTTCATTTTCAAAGCAAATAGCTACATGTTCTTCCACTATCAAAATGCACTACATTAGCTTAGCTATCGGCTAATGCCGGTGTGTTTACACTTTAGGAGTGAAGAAGTGATGCTCATCAAAGTCGGAACTTAATATTTTACGTTTAAATTTGTCCGTCCCAGTGGCAGCACAAAATTGCCGACGATACATGACATACGCCGTGTACATGAAGTCACGTGGAAAGTTGGACGTTTTGTGTTGTATGTTTTGCAGATACACAGATAAAAATGAGCTCATGTTTAACGTTTATGGCTTAACAAAATGGCTCAAATGGCTGCGTCGAGAAAACGTTATTTAGACACGGGACACGTTGGTGGACAATTACAGATCAAATGCATCTCCTTAGTGTAAATGTTAATGTTAATGAAGGTGTGTGCTGTAAAAAAAAAAAAAAAAAAGGCAGTTGCAAGTCTGTGTTTTTTTTACCTGGCTACAGTTAGCAAGGTGAGCTTTGAGTCCTGACACACTGGAATATACAGCATCGCACTTCTGAAACAACACAGAAGACATGAGGAAAATTGTTCAAAACCATTGGCTGAAGTGATGAAACAAATAAATCAGTAACAAATAAGTATATACAATAAGTCAGTTCATCGTCTTACTTCGTTGGTGCAGCAGATGAATCCCTTCTCTTTTACCTGGTTCTTCCAGGTCTCTAGTATCTCAGGGCTGAAATTGGTAAGGCTTGGGCGAGTGTAGTTTAACTATAGGAAAAAAAACCCCAACATATTTCATGATTATTGAAATTAGATTTGGAACGTTTTCCCTTTCCCTTCTCACTAGAACAGGACCCTTTGTCCATGTAGGTCAGTGTTTGTATATGTAGGTGAATGATCATCAGTGTCACATACTATGTGTTTAGACTTCAGACAGACATCAATTTCCTTAGAGGAAGATCTGGAACATTCAACCAAGACCCTAAGATTGCTTCCTAAATTATTTGTCATAGTCTTATATGCAAACCAAATGACTCTTGGGCTGTAAAAACCCGGTGGCAATTCCCATAATGCCAAGTTATATTTTTCTGTGGGGCACTGCACTATTTTTAGAGCAGTCCTCATTTCCCGAAACCCAGGCATTGCATTATCGGGTTTTCATTATCGGCGGGAAAACCAAAAACGATTCGTACAGATATTTAAAAAATATGCTAACATCGGACCAATAATATCGGTCGGCCGATATTATAAAATTATTATTCCTGAATGTGAGAAGACTCAGTTGCTTGAATTTGGGGCAAAACCTCTAAGAATGTTTATTAAAAATGCTGTAGTTGAGTTCATATTTCATCTTTTAAATAAAAATAAAAATATAATTTCTCTTGAGCCCTCATGAACCTATTATTACGTATACGCACATCTCATTGGTTAAGTACAGGAAGTCACCGACTTACGTCGGGATTCTGTTCCTATGGTGTGACGTAAGTCGCAATTTACATACTGTACATAAGTACATAAGTCACTCAGCTACGCTAACTCAGCTACGCTAACACATCATAAAAACATCACTAGAGTCTTGAAGTCACTAATAAGCCTTTATGAAGGGCAAAAACGTTCCAAAAAAAAAAAAAAAAAAAAAAAACACCAACAAATTAAAGGGAATGTTGCTCAACCCAACGTATAATATCCAACCGCCAAATGTAAACAAAGCTATCTTCCACATTTGGTGCCGCAAGACGACCACTCCGCTCGCCAACTAGTTCCTGTGAGAAATTCGTTTTATCACCGTACGTCCAAGATTTTTCTTAATAATTCACGGGAAACGGCAACATCATCACGGAATCACTGTGGACGGAGGGAGTCGCAAACCACGGACGTCCCGCACATCAATAAACCTCGAGCCACTCCATATCCTGTCCTTACCCTCTTGCTGTCAGGCACCAGGTCATCCTTAATCCGCCGTTTGGTGCCCCACTCTTTAGCCAGTTCATCCTCCGCAATCTCCTGCAGGTGGAAGACTGCCACCTGGGCCGAGCGGCGCCTCACTCTTCCACTGGGAGTGCGCTCAAAGTCTTCCACCTGGCTCGCATTCTGCACCATTTTCTCAAGCGTTTCCTCCCTCTGATTCTGTTTTTCCTTATCTTCGTCTCGAATTTCCTTTTCCTTCTCGCTGTGTTGCACTGAAGCCGTCTTTTCCTGCCACTCAATCTTTTCGGGTTGGCATTGCTCCTTCTTGCCTCTTGCTTTAGGCTCCCCTGATATCAACTGCAGTAGGACGTGAAAGGCATGTGTAGCGTTAAAAAAAAAAAAAAAAAAATAGCAAAAAGTACCATATCATATTAGCGACGGTCTGGTAACACTTTTGGTAGAGTTTACAAAAATAACTTCTTGTTTTGTCAGGAAGCCCAAAAGCAGTAGCTAACGTTGTTAACTAGCCTACCATAGCTGTAGATGCTAACTGAGGACTATAGGTGTATTCCAGCGGCCAGAACTAGTGACAGGCTAATCATCGGGATAATCGTGAGGACATTTATCTTGTTGGACAGTAATGACATCCCTTTACCCCATTGGCTCTCGATTATTTTCTGTCATTCTCCCCCTTGGGGGGTTAGAAATGTTTTCATACACTCTCCGCCACCGTATGAGTTGCTGCCACCTAGTGACTGGAGGCTTGTTATCATTTAAGCATTGCAGCAGTGGTACACTTATGTCCAGTGGAAAATATTAGCGAAATAACTATTGCAACTCACTGTGAAAGAAGTAAGGGCTTACCTTAGTTATGTGCTCAGCCATGGTGTGGTAGTTAAGGCCAGCCTTAGACCTGAACTGCTTATGGCACTGCTGGCATTTAAGAGCATCTTGAAGCTATAGGGATTGAAGGCCAAAGAAAATTACATTATTTTTTTTATTTATTTTTTTTTTTACAAATAACATGTTTCTAAAAAAGAAACTACTGTGTAATCTCACTTTTTTCTGGGCTATGTGGTCATTTATTTTAACAGTTTCATTTGTAGCTCAATAAAATAAATGTAAAAGCGAATGCACTGACGAAGCATTCCGATGTATGACGTACAACCAGCGAATGTCGACAACGCTCTCTTTTATGTACAGCCGCCATGGGCTATGTGGTCATTTATTTGAACAGTTTCATTTGTAGCTCAATAAAACAAATGTCACGACAGACACAGAGGTAATGCACACGTTGCATATCAGAACCTACGCTTGGGAGCCATAATGAAGGGGCAACGCAACCACTACCAACATAAGTCGGAAGGTCACAACAGACCCCCTGCATATGACTCTTCAAAGCAGATGCATATATTGCGATGATGTCAAACACTTACACCAGAACAAACTACACGGTAAAAGCACCTGTTCCCATCAGATGGCCAGGTTATGTCCACTGACCTTATGGCAAATCTCCATGTGTTTCTTGAGGCCTTCCATTGATTTCCTAGTTACAAATGAGCAGGTGGGACACACCACTTCGCCTTGCTCCGGGACTGCTTGCTGCCATTGGTTACCAGGATCCATACCTTCGGAACATAACGACAGTGTTCTCGTAAATAGCATAACCAATGTCCAATGAACAATTAGCAACTATAAAACAGGAATGCAACTCGCCGACATACATTTTGGGTGGACAGAAAGTACACATCGAAACGCTTGCTTTAAAAAAATATTTTTCTAATATTAAACGTAGTTAATAGTTAATCAACGAGATCCATACATATCTAAATCCTACTTTTTGTAGATTCTTATTGGTAAATATCTATAAATTAGACATCCTTATGAATGAATAATGGAGATCTAAACGTCACCGACCAGAGATCTTTGCAGCTGCGTCCTTCTTGCAGAGCTGACTCGGTGCCGGTCTTCGCTCAGGTTTTTCACTAAATGTTCTCCCTCCTCCCGGTCTTTTTGAATGACTTGTTTTTAGTTTTTCCTCAACTTTAGTCATTCCTAAAGCAAACACATAAAAAAAAATCATGGTTAATTAGAGACATTTCTTTGTAACCTACAACTCATATCTATCAGATTGAGAGGCAATTCAAACGATGCAGTTAAAAAAAAAAAAAAAATAATCTATCAGATTGAGAGGCAGTTCAAACGATGCAGTTAAAAAAAAGAAATCCAGGACCAGATTGTCATCCTTGGGAGATTTTGAAGTGTTTTCTAGAATATTTAGTACAAGTACTAAACAATATTTTTGACTACAGTGTGTACTTTCTTCATGGGGACATAGACTGAGGCTATTTCTGGCATTCACAAGGAAGGCAAGAGCCAACACTTGAAACTACAGACCACACTCTGAAAACTACAGACCTATCAGTCTCTTATGCGGTGATCTCAAATTACAAACTCCTTTTACAAAAACGTAAGGAGGACACTGCATATAGTCAAAGGGTAAAATATCGACTTTTCTTATTTTTGATTAGAGCCTCATAAGCGTGTGTCTGGAAAATTTTTATATATATATACATATATGTATATATATATGTATATATATGAATATATAAACATATATATGCATATGTGCATATATATACATGTATATATATATATACATATATATACAAATACATATATATATACATATATACACATATATACATATATACACATGTATATATATACATATATACATATATATACACATATAAATATATATATACATATATACATATATATACACATATACATATATATACATATATACATATATATACACATATATACATATATACATTTATGCATATACACATATATACATATTGTTATTTGTTAAGGCGAACTGAATTCCACATTTTACCTTTCAATCCAAAGGTTCCAGATATGGAGGGCTGTTCCCCCGTGAATTTCTTAGGTGTTTTCTGCTTCCGTCCTGTGTTAAGACAAACATAAAGCACAACTCGGTCGAAAAAAAAAAAAAAAAAAGCAGAACAGGTGTCAAAAGAAACAAAAGCAGAACAGGTTTACACCAATTTAGGATATATCCTGGAAACTCACTGTGCTTAACACGCTCCGGATCTTGATCAGGAAAAAGAGGGGAAAGACTGCTCTCCTTACTTTCTTTGGCACCCGATCTGCTCTGGGACTGCAGCAGGACAGACTGGGGCTGTGACGGCTGACTGTAAGCTGTTTGCTGCTTGTTTCTGTCGCTCTTCTGATAGGACAGCTTGCCATTCATAGAGGGCACTTCGTTGATCTTCTTGACCTTGAAGAACACAGGAGACGGGGGCGCGTTCTCCAGCCGTCTGGATCCAGAGTTCGAAAGGAAAAATAGTTTTTAACGGTTTAACAAGTTGCATTTGTCAATGTGGAAGAGATGGACATTGAATTAGAGTATGTTGCCTTTTCTTGGTGGTGGACTTGATGGCCATCTTGTGAGGTATAGCCTGCTCTTCCTTGGGGTCCATCGTGACCCTGTCGGGATGGTTCCACAGCTTGTGCTTTTCCAGGCGGACCTTTGTTGCAAAGACTGCCTCGCAGTAGGGACAGCCATGGCTAAGCTTTTCAGGTACTGGGGCCTAGTGAAAGGGAAAATTCAAAACAGTTTTAACACTAGCTTAGCCATTAGCTCCTGCCAGCACTATCAGTTTCTTGATGCTGTAGGTGGGAGTTAGCAAAAGCTTTCTAGGTTCAGTAAGTTTTTGCTAACTAAATCCAGTTATGTGACAAGGAAAGTTCACTCTTACTTGGAAAGAGATTTTACATATATACAAATATGTCATGCAAAAATAAGGAGGTTCCACAAGCCAAGTTGTCTTTGTATAACTAGTCGACTATTTATTTTCCTGAGAGTCTAAACGCCTTTTATTGATAATGAAGAGATTTTTTTGGATAGCCCCCCCCCTTCCTTGAGCCTCACTTATGTTTCTTCAGGGCACAGTTTGGAGGGAAAAATCGTCAGAGGGTTTTTACAACGCTCATCAAGCAACCACAACAGCTGTCAAATGTTAGATGTTAAATTAAATGTTTTTCCTAATTATTATTATTTTATATTGTCAATATATTTGTTTATATCTATGTTTGTGATGTTTAGATAGGGGTCGGGGGGGGGGTTAGTTATTTTAAAAATGGAGAAAATGCTATGGATCTTAAAGCCCCACTGTATTAGCAAATAGGGATGTAAAAATGCATCACGAATCGATCTAAAATGTATTTAAAATGCATAATGACATGCATCGATTTTAAAAAAAAAAAAAGAAAAAAAAGAATGCCAATCCATCGGAAGGAGAAGGCTGAGTTATTTCAAAATGTTAACTAAGACTAAAACACAAAAACGTTACTAAACGATGCAATGGCAGCCTAGGTAAAAAAAAAAAATATATATATATATTTTATATATTGGCAGTTAATGAGGTAAATAAGACCAGACTTTTTGTTTTTAACTTTAATAATAAGAAATAAATGGCGACGTTCAGTGTTTCTATTAGGAAATGTGCAATATTGTATTCTGTTATTTAAGATGTATCGGGTGCAACATTACAACCCCTTAGTAAGCTACGGGGTATAATTGCAAAGTCAGATTGGGACTACATTAACCAGTAACAAAAACAAGTGTTCTAAAAGTTATATTTTAATGTCACATCATATCTAGATTGCACTTTTAACCTCTTCTTTCAAGCACAGAACAGAACCAGCCAACCTGGAGAGAGAAGAAGATAGTAACATACCCCCTGACAGCGTTGATAGTGGTACTTAACACCATAGATGCTGGGGAATTCTAACCAGCAACCTGAGCGTGGACACTTAACCCTGGAGCGTCGCTTAAACTCTTCCTTCCATTGTACCACCAAAGGAGCCTGCTTAGAGGGAAAGGAAAAAAAAAAAAAAGATAAAGCCAACAATGAGCCAGAAAGGGAGTGATCTCAAATTACAAACTCCTTTTACAAAAACGTAAGGAGGACACTGCATATAGTCAAATGGGAAAACATCGACTTTTCTTATTTTTGATTAGAGCCTCATAAGCGTGTGACTGGAAAATTTTTATATATATATGTATATATATATATGTATATATATGAATATATATATATATATATATATATGAATATATATACATATACATATATACATATACATATATATACATATATATACATATATACAAGTCGTCAGTCGTCAGCTGGTAAGATACTCACAGTAATATTCCTTAATTCCTGTCCTTCTGTTCTGGGCCGACCTTTTTTCTTCCCTTCTGCGCTCTCATTTTGCAGTGGATCTTAAATAAAAAAAGAAACAAAGAGAAGGACTCGAAATTATCACAAAAAGTTGTCATCGAAAAGACAGGTGTTATTATGACATTTTTTCGTGTCGCGCTCTGCAAGTACCTTATACCATGTGATTCGTGGAAAATTATTCAATGTCACTTAATTGGTCCCAAAACTTTTTTTTTTTTTTTTTTGCAAATATGTTTTCTTTGTTCGCCAATGCGCGACAGGCAGAGCAATTAACTCCTCTTCTGCTAGGTGGCAGCAGAGGGCTATTAAAACTATCCAAAAAGATCGTTGAAGAAGATCTTTGTGTGGGTCTTTCTTCAATTCCTGCCAGTATATCATTGTTGTCTTTACCTAAACAGACTGATTGTGGGATTTTTGTTTGGTGGTATGCCGTGTGCGTTTTGTTTTTTTTCCCCTGATGATATATATGTGTCGTGGCTCAAGGTGTGTTTTTTTTTCCTGATTATATATGTGCCGCGGCTCAAAAAAGGTTGGGAAAACACTGCCTTATGTTGCACCTCAAGTTAGAGTTTGCTTTTGTTCAGCTGATGAAAGTTCAAGACATTCATTTGCTATTTACAGTCACTGAGTTGTGTTATGTTTTTTGGGGTTTAACCTATCAGGTGAGATGACCTATCAGGTGAGATGATAAACACGTCTTGTTGTGTAGACTTGTGATTACCAATAAACTTCTTGACGACAGCAGTGTCACTCCTTGGATGTAGTCAAAAATCTGAGCGCAAAACATTACCTTAAATCAAATAAGTTAAGTCATTCAATAAATCATTCAGTTGATGAAATACTACCTTTATGATTATTTTATAATCTGGGAGATTTTAGGCAGTTATTACGGTAGCCTATACAATAATTGTTCATCTCCATAATTTCAGATGTTTTTTGTTTTTTTTTCAGGAGTGACCTAAAAACTGCAGTTTTCAGGACCTGTGGGAAAAAACATGCTGAACTGAAGAGACGTGTTGACAGTTTGGGGAACATCTTGTGTCAGAGGTTTGTAACATCTTCGATCCTGCGATCTTGACATTCCGGTGAGCAGAATGAACATGATCAGGTGCTCTTAATGACCGCTGGAGTTGTTGAAAATCTGTCCTCTATTCACCCCTTTCCCTAATTCTTAAAAGGTCATAGGTGTTTTTTAAACACATGAGCAAATGTCCGGAACAAGAACAATGTCGAGTCCTGCAGGCTAGGGTTCAAAAACACACGAAGCTAACAGCAGGATCGGTATAAACAAGCTAAAGATTCACCCAAACAAAAGTAATAAACTTGCAGGAAGAATAAGATAATAAAAGGTTTTTGGTGGTTCACCCAAACAAAAGAAATAAACTTGCAGGAAGAATAAGATAATGCTAGGTAATTGTACAGAAGGGGAAAAATAGTGAATACAAAAAATAGTGAAAGGAAGATTAGGTATTTACCGTGGAGGGAAACACCGGAGGTGGAGACAGGTGGACAAAGGGACATGAACGAGGCAGGAAGTGGAGCACCTGAGAGCGAAACACAGGGTGAGACACAAATGATTGAGTGAACCAAAAAAAAAAAAAAGTATCAGTTTCAGTAGTGAGTACCGTTGAGTACATAGTTAAAAATACTTCTACTAGCATTAATTGGTAGAAATGGTCTTGGAATGACACTGATAAAATGTTACTTCTCAAAGATTATGATTAAATGATTTAAATGCAAACCCATATTTCAATAAAGTTGCAATATTTTAAAAAATAAAACAAATGAATTTTTTTTTTTTTTTTTTACAATATTCAAACATTTTGGATGTGACACCTCTATCATGTTCCAAAAAAAAAGCTATCCTCAAATTTGTATAGGTCACAATAATTCCAGATTTACTCTAAACTCATTTCGGTTCACGGGCCGCATAAAACCAAATTAGATGTCAAGTGGGCCGCACCAGTACAATCATAACCTAATTAATTATAAATAACAATAAGTCCTTGATTTTCCCCTTTATTTTCATGCAAAGAGGTACAAGTAAATTATATTATTTATTACCATTTATTCATATTTAATGCAATATCATTTTACAAAAAAAATATCCTTAACATGAGGTGTTTGTGTAATTTTTTTTTATTTCCAAAATTGAGTCAAGCGGGCCGGAAAGATGCCCAAGCGGGCCAGTTTTGGCACCACGGGCCGCATGTTTGCGACCTCTGCTGAAACCACTGCTCTTAAAGTAAAATAAAGATAGCATGACCCCTCATGAACCAACAGAAAATGGCAAAGTCCAGAAATGTTTTCAAGAACGAAGTATGACCCAGAAAGTTGAGAAGGATCCTCCTGTATGTATCCTGCCTATTAGCTGAGAGGAGGAATGAAAGTCACGCTTGAGTTTTGGGGACTTTAGCGAAGAGCTGTCTGGCGTACCATCTGGCTGTAACCGACATGTTCACTTTTGGACCTGGACAAAATCCGAATGAAGATTTAAGCCTCTGTCGTCGATACAGGAACAAATCCGTCCTTCTTTTCGACCCAAGAGGACCCAGCACCAGGAATTGAGGATGAACGGGTCATTTCTGCAGCAAGTGATTGATTGATATACGTATTAATGCATTCCCTCTTTCTCTCTTAAAGAAGGATAAGACTTGCGGTGCCCATTGTGCTGCTCCCTACAACCATGCCCTTCCCATGAGGTGGTTAATAATAAAATTAACACTGGCTGCTTGGATACTAAAGGCGTGAGGCTTGGAGGTAAGCAGGATGAAGATTCAGTAATGAAAGGACTGCGACACTTGACTCCACACTTTAAAAACTCGGTGCAGAATCTTCAATGTTGTAATGCAGAGTAAACAGTAGCTTGCGTTTTACTCTTACAGGGTCAGGGTGTCTTAGCAGCATCGGTAGGTCACCGAAGGAGATGGTACGGTGGTCCCTCGTTTATCGCGGTAGCTAGCTTCCAAGGCCTGCCGCGAGAACTGAATTTCCGCAAAGTAGTGACACCATATTTATGCGCAGTAAAATGATGATGACGAGGAAGGTGATGATGACTTTTACTACGCAGCCGATGATTGATTTTACGTCTCTCCAGAGGGTGGTGCCATTTCTTGGTGCACCTCTTCCAGTAGCAGGAAATGGTTCTTTTTTTGCGAGGCTGCAAAAACATTGCGATCGGCAGTTAGCCTCCGCTGCTTCTTTTTCCAATCGAAGAGTAGCTTGTAGGCAGTCACGACGCCGTCGATTCTGTTGCAAAATCGGACCGATCGCACCATATCGTCGTCCCATTCCTGTGACATCCGTATTAATAACCTTAATTAATCACCTTAGTGGGCAGGTGTCACTTAAAATCGGTATCGGTTTTTATCGGACTCAGAAATCAAGTGTTTGGACAATATCTGCACAACGGATATCAGCAAAGAGTTAATATCGGACATTCCTAATTCTAGTTCGTGCATTTCTCAATATTTCTCAATAACTCAATATTGAAGGATGATTTTACTGTAGCTCTCTGGTGCTTTTTTTCTTATCACTGAAAGACCAGATAGAGATAGAGATAGAAGCCTATGGCCACAGGAAAGGGGGAAAAAAAAAACTCGCTCTCAAATTGGCTAAATCTAGCAACAAGATCAAACAGAAACACTGTGTTGCACTTGTGCTCGAAGCCATGCAGTTCTTATTGGCGTGACAACAGACACGCATTGGCATAACGCTCACTCACAATTTAGAAGGATGACAGAATTTCATTTCATTTCATTAAGGTTTGTTAGAGACTCCTTAAACATAGGCTTAAACAAAACCCTATGTTTTTACTCGACAAAGGACGATCTCTCATCACTTACAGTGTTTGTTGTTGTTGTTGTTGTTGTTGTTGTTCTTAGGAACTGGGGTGTATCTCTGAGGCTCCTGGGAATGTCCATGCTTGGGAGTGCGGGTCCTTGTCAACCCTAAGGTGGACATGTTTCCAAATCTCTGGCTGCTGGGGCTCTCCATGCCTGAGAACACAGTAGAGTAAGATATAGGTGATGGTGAGATACATTGTTTGCAATGTCAGCTGCATCGACTTCCTGTAATTATTTGTTGAGCTACCTTCTTCTACATATCACAGTAGTGTACTATAATTAGTGTGGACTAATTACCACACGTAAACCAACTCAGTACTCATACTCTCATTGGAAAAAAAAAAAAGGCGATTTGAGCAAAAGCAACAAATACAACCCTACTTCTATCTTAGCCGTTTTTTATTTGGTAACAAAAGGAAAGATTTTATTATTATTATTAGTACAACCTCTATTTTTGGAATAGCGGTCTGAACATAAAAGACCATGATAGCTGTACAAAGCTAGGCTGGCTAGCTAGCTGTACAAATCTGGGCTAGCTAGTGTCTGACAAGACTTGACTTTAGAAAAGCAAAGAATATATATAAAAAGAACAGGTATTAGAACCAAGGAGAATAAGTCATTTGTTCAACTACTGTTAAGGAGGGCAGTTGTAGCTACGTAGACACGTACCGCCACTAAATGCATTGCATGTATAACGTAATTGGACAATTTAGCTTTGAAAAGTTCCTCAGAATACGACGTCTCTCTTGTACATTACAACCGCATTCGTTGTACTTTTGACAATGGTGAAACGCTGCCCATAGACACAGTTCCCAGTCTTTCACATTAAATGAAATACAATTTTACAAAACATATCATTACACATGACATTAACATATATAACATTATATAGGTTGTTTATAGCCGAGGTCGATGTTAGGATTTGGTTTTTCTTGATCCAATGATCACTGTTTCCCAAACCGTATTTACTGTTTGTCTGTGTACGCAGGTAATAATTATTTGTTATACCTACAGCACTTCTGACATTTCCCGGTGTTGCTACTTTACTTTGAACTTTACTACTTATAGGGAATACACTCTTGTACCGTCAATACATGTGTCAATACATGTGCTCTTTTAAATGTTACCAATTGAAGAGCATTGCTTTAATTGTAATTTGGTTTTATGTAATTATATTCCTGATAGGAACCAAAACTGTTGGTACTTACATGGCAGAACCCATTAAAGGTTATGGTTACTTGTAAGTTAGAATGTACAAACACATGTAGTCCACTGTAAAGTCAAAGACATGTTGTGAGTCATAGGTTACTGAGTTCACAAACGTCACTAAAACGTCTAGTCTATTTTTTTTTCTCTCTCTCTCTCTCTCTCTCTCTCTCTCCCCGTGCCGACACACCTACCTGAAATGACGGACACTATCACCCAGGAGGAGAAGAGACAGGAGGGGGAGAAGAGGGAATCTGGAGGCAGACACTTGGACTTGTTTTTTTTTTTTTTGTTTTTTTTTAACTCCCACCCTGCTTTAAAACCAAGTAACCTGGCACTCTGTAGTGCGTCAGGGTGCGGTCATACACTGGCGAGGAAAGGTTGACAGAAGTCACTGAGCTTCTGTGACTGTGTCTCTGTCACCGCTTCCAATTTTGTAGACGATAATAACAGTCACCAAATTCGGGATACTTTCACCTCATTTTTTCCTCTCCCCTGTTCCCAGTCATCCCGCACCCCTTGTCATCTTCCCCCCGCCTCGCGTTAAAACCAAAACCAAACGAGGCACTTTTCATTTAAGTCTTTCCCCTCGATAAACACTCCAAAATCGCCCGGAAAGAGAAGACACATACGGCCGACTCCGCAGCCCCGGAAGAGAAAACGTGATGACGATGGGTGGTTTTATATAGGCAGTTGGGGAAATGGCGACTTTATTACGAAGGAGGGGGGGATTCTTGCTCTGGCTGAAACTAACGGGAGGCACATGAACATGTTTACAGCTGCTATCTCGGCGTTGTTACGTATGGCAAATGAAAGCAGTCGAAAAAGAAAGAAAGAAAAATATCAACATTACGTCATTTCGGTACAGCATCTGCCCGACTTCTTACCTCGGCTTATTTCAGCTTCTAAACGGACATTATCTCCAGCGGCCTTGTTCCACAGTCACTTCAGCGTGTGCTGGGTTCTGCGCGCATCCACTCCACCTTTGATAGCTGCTACTACAGTCCGCTCTTGGGGCAACTTCCAAACTCTCACGTTATTATAATGGTGGTCGATATGAGGCACATTAATATTGGAGACACAAAAGGAGGTGGAGGACGGTGGCGACGTAACGGATGAAGAAATAAATAAATAAGATGGGTCGTAGGTTTAGTTGCTTTGCTTGACTACGCATTTAATTTGCTTTTTTTAAAAAAAAAAACGTGACCACGCTCAGTGCTATAGAGGACGGTGGACTTAAAAAGAATTCTGTCAGTGAATGGACCACAAACACACAAAACAGCAATCGAATGAACTTATGTAAGGTTTATAACTGTTATTGTTGGATGGGGTTTTTTTTTTCTGCATCTGCATCTCAAAACAGCATGTGTCAAACCCAAGGCTCGGGGCCCAAATGTGGCCCGCCACGTCATTTTGTATGGCCCGTGGGAGATTAAAAAGCATTGAATAAAGTCCATGCAGCAGAGTTTCTTGACCTGATAAATTAAAAGTTAAAACTTGATAAATTAAAAGTTGTATAATATAATAACTTGAATAAATAATAATTAATTGCAGAAACCTTTATTAATATGAGTTACATGTAACCAGTCTTTTTACAACTGGCCACTCAAGGGGAACTGTGTTGCTGATGTGGCCCCCAGTGAAAATGAGTTTGACACCTCTGGCATACAATGATAGCATGTATAATAGAAACATTTAAAACCAATGACAATGCATATGTCAGTCTGACTTTAGGAATAGGTAAAGAAAATTGTTTTAAATAATGGAGACACTGACCAACACTATAGTGGTTTGAGTTTTTTTTTTTTTTTTCAAATTTCCTTTAAGACCTAATAAAAAATGTGGAAGAGCATTGAAATTTAGAAAAAAATAAAAGTAAAACAACTAGATGTGAAATACAAAAATACAAGAGAACAAATCAACAGCCAGTTGCAAAACAGCAGCAGCATGGTTAAAAAAACAAAAACAAAGTACATCAATGATGTATATAATTATGCTTCTGCCTTTTTCTGCAATACCCATGTTTCCCCAACAGATGGTGTAAAAAAGCACTTAGCATTTTAGCCTTTATGACTTTTACTATCTATCTATCTATCTATCTATCTATCTATCTATCTATCTATCTATCTATCTATCTATCTATCTATCTATCTATCTATCTATCTATCTATCTATATTTATATTTATATTTATATTTATATTTATATTTATGTTTATGTTTATATTTATATTTATATTTATATATATAGGTGGTGCAAAACAAAAATTGTGCTACATATGAACTAATGGTAAATATATAAACAGAATAAACAGTTCGGAAGTGTGTTGAGATAAACTATAGTGACAAATGTAAACCGCAATAGATCAGTAGATAAATAATAGCGTTTCTAAGAGCTATTTAATTGCACCCCCAGGAACTTGGTGCTGCTGACGACCTCCACCGCTGTGTCATTGATGAGCAGCGGTGTGTGGCTGGGTTGGGATCTCCTGAAGTCAACGATGAGCTCCTTTGTCTCGTTGATGTTCCTGTGGAGCAGGTTATTTGTTTGACACCAGTCGACCAGATATCGTACCTCCTCTCTGTAGGTCAGCTCGTACCTTTAGTAGCTGGTCGGTGTTGTGCCTGGGACGACAGTCATGGCTCATCAGGGTGAACAGCAGGGGGGATCAGGATGCAGCCCTGAGGGGAGCCGGTGCTGAGGGAGATGAGACTGGAGGTGTTGTTGCCCACTCGGACAGACTGGGTTCTGTCAGTGAGGAAGTCCAGCAGCCAGTTGCACAGGGTGTAAACCCCCAGCGGGCCCAGTTTGCATATCAGGTCCTGGGGGGGGGATGATCGTGTTGAATGCTGAGCTGAAGTCCAGAAACAGCATCCTTACCTGGAGCACCATCCAGGTGCTCCAGGCTCAGGTGGAGAGCGGTGGAGATGGCGTCCTCTGTGGAGCGGTTAGGCTTGTATGCAAACTGGAACGGGTTTAAATGATGGGGGCAGTATGGAGATGATGTGGTCCTTAATCACACGCTCGAAGCACTTCATGATAGTAGGTGTTGAAAGTCGTTGCGAAAGGCATGAGATGGTTGATTTCTTTGGCACTGGAATGATGGTGGCTGGCTGGAAGCATGAGAGGACGAAGACTTGGTTCAGTAACGTGTCAAAGATGTCAGTGAGCACATGGGCGAGCGCTGGTCTGTCAGGACCTGCCGTTTTCCGTGCGTTGACCTTTCTCAGAGCTCTCCGCCGGTAGTGGTTTCGAGCCTGAGGACCTGATCGTCGGGGTGTGGACAGCTTTTCTCGCTGGTGTGTTGTTTAGAGCTTCAAATCTTCCAATGCTACAGACATGTTCTGCCGATTGTGGTTTTAGGCAATGTAGAATCTCAGCTTTGGACAATTGTACAGGCATGGCCAAGCCGTGCCTCGGGAACCGCATGTGGCTCTAAATGCAGCCCGCCAAGCCATTTTTTGTGGCCCGCGGGACTTTTTATAAAGTTCTTGTAGCAGAGATTCTTTACCTATGAAATTAAAAGTTTTTTTTTATTACTC